CGACCGGCACCCCCCCGACCGGCAGCCGCAACGGCCGCAAGGGACTTGGTGCTCACGCTGCCGGGGGCGCCGCTGACGACGACGCTGCGGGGGCTCTTCTTAGGCAGGCCGCCGCTGCCGCCGCTGACGGTGGCGGTTCCGGAGCCGCCCTTGCTGCCGCCGCCACGCTTCGGGCTTCCGCTGCCGCCGTGGCTGCCCCCGGCTGCTGCTGCGGCTTCCTCCTCCGGTGAGGTTAGTGCCATAGGGCCCTGAGGTGTACGGCAGCCGTCTGGATCCGCGATGGCGAACCACATGCTGCGGACCTGGGTTGGGGGGAAGGGGTGTGTGTGATTGTGGGGGAGTGCGGGGTTGGGTTGGGGGGGTAAGGAGGGTAAGGAGGGGAGAAATGGTGGGTGGGGAATTACACACTGCAGTACATGCAGCCACAGGTGCAACGAGATCGCAACTACTGCGGCGATGTGTGGCGTTGTGAGGTGGTGTGCGTGTATTGGGGGGGTTGGGGGTTGGAGGGGATGGGGGATGGGGGGGAAGCGGCAATAGGTCAGGTTGCCTCCTGCTGTGGCCTACATACATACAAACAAATAGACTCAAGACGAACACACAATCTGACCAAACAGACAGATAGACGGACAAACAGGCAGACAGACAGACAGACAGACACAGGCACACACACATACCCCGCTCCCTCGTCCTCCCCGTACCTCCGTGTCCGAGAGGGGTCCATCATCTCTCATGAGGCGGGTGCACGACACGAACTCGACGTGGAGGCGACCGCGCACCGGTAGCTGTTTCGGTTAGGTGTGGGGAGGGAGGTTGGGGGTACGTACACATATGCACGGGGGACAAATTGGATATGTTTACATACGTACATATACACGTCGGCGATGTTCCTAAGCAATACAGACAAACAGACAGTCAGACAGTCAGACAGACAGGGACAGAGACAGACAGACAGACAGACAGACAGGCAGACAGACAGACAGACAGACAGGCAGAATGACAGGCAGACAGAGAGACACCCCCACCCACATACGCGTGTGTACATGCCCCCCCCACCTGCAGCTTGTTGGTGCTGTTCAGCCTGAAGGGCTTTCCGTTGAGGGTGGCGGCGCGCCAGGATCTCAAACCCATGTGGGCGGCTAGACCCACCAGCTCTACGGCCACCTGGGGGGGCGGGGGCGGGGTAGCATGTGAGTCTGTGTAGGCGGGAGGGTACGACATTACCGACCTGCCGTACATCACGTTTCTTTGCGGCGCCACAGTCCCTTTTCCCGCCCCTCCTTCCGCCCCAGCCTTACCTGGTAGTGTGCGGGTATTTCCAGATCCAGATCGTACACTCCGTCCGGATCGTGTGGATCCCACACAACCGTACTGCCCCCCATGCCGCCGAAGGAGCAA